GGAGTTCCCTCAGGCTTTTGAAGTCAGAAGATCCCATGCCTCTGATGCAGGGAAGAGACCAGATCTGAGGAGTCTAGGGCTTGTCCATGAATGTTGTCATTTACACCTCCCCAGCCAGTGCCTATCACTCCAGGACATCACAGCCCTCTCTGATCACTAACTCAGCTATCCCAATTATCGTGCTCTGGGTTGCAGATACAAACCATTAGAGTTTGTGTGTCACTGCACCAAAAGGCCTTTCATTTAATAATCACTATATCAGCAGTTCATAAGCCCTGAGACTGGTCTGGTTTCAGGCTTTCTTCATAATACCAATAATACACATCTGGGGCTTCTTTCCTCAGAAGCTGCTTTGCAAACAGTCTCTCATCCATGAGATTCAATTACAAGTTCCTCACAATTTGGAAGGAGTCTCACCTCAGCTTGGTACTCACCTTGGCTGGGCTGGAGTGATTTTACGGTTTTGTTTTTGTTTTTGTTTTTTAAGGAAATTTTTAATGTCCCAAGTCAAGTCAGTGAAATCAATTCCAAATCCGTGTGAGTCATTTGAATATAGTTTCAAATTTAGTAATTTGAAACTATATGTGGCCCTGCTGCCGGCAAGCATCCTCCACCCCTGGCTGGGGCTTCAGATACTTTCAAATCCTTTGGCAGGCATCCTACATGCAGGCCCAAGCACATGGCATTTAATGCACCTAGGCTGAGTTTCAGATTAGCTAGAGTCTTGTGGCCACTTGTATCATGTGGTCCATGAACCCAAAGACTAGTGAAACATGGTGTAATTTTGAGGAAACTCAACTGTAAGGTCAGGTGAACCTGGGTCCAGTTTGGAGTAGTGCCTAGCAAGCCAGGGGCTGGTTTGGCTAAAACTGGCCCATTATAATGGGAATTCAGGCCCCATTTGTGTCAGTTTATCTGCACGATTCAAAGGTCTGCACTGGAATGACAGGGAGGGGAAGGTCTCTCCACAGCAGAAGGCACAATATTTCTGCTCCTTTGCCACGTAGCCCCTTGACCACTGCACATTCCTCCTGTGCTGGCAGTTCCAGTCCCACTGCTGGCTCAGGTCCTGAGGGAAGCTCTTGTTTCCTCTTCCTTCTCATGTAGCAGCCCAGCGGTTTTTACTACAAGCTGCTGGGCAGGTTTTGTCTTGGCCTCTGGGCACTTTGCAGTGAAAACCATGGATATCTGAAGGAGCAGCCAGCAATACAGACATCAAGCACTGATGAACATTTAGTTCCACAGAGACCACCAGTGTGTGCTCCTAAAAGACCAGAGACCACTGCCCCACTGCTGTGTCTAGTCTTACTGTAGTCCATTGATGAGGCCTCCAGGGCTTCCCTCAGTGACATTTTTTGCTGCAATGTTTTTCTCACTGCACCTGCAATAACTTTAACTCTTAAATAATTTAACAAATGGGTGGCCAACCTGTGGCACACGTGCCGCAAGTGACACAGGCAGTTTATGTATGTGGCACACAGAAGATCATGGAGAGGACAGGCAGCCCAGTGACAGATAAGGTGGGAAGCAGAAAGCAAAGCAGAAAATTGAACAGGGAGCGCAGGGTAGGAGAAGAAAGCAGAGCAGCAGATTGAGCATTAAGGGGATCAATGTGTCACTTGGGAAGAATGTAGGGCTAATTTGTGGCTCGGATAACCAGGGCCTAAGGCTTCCCCAGTTGCATTTTGTCTTGGAGAAGTTTGTTCCCAGAAGGTCTGAACTCTTGCTCTGTTGTGGCTCCAAAACTTGGAGTGATTCTGGGGTGCAGGGTAGTTGCTGTGTTGTGTTTGCACCACCCACTTCAAACCAGTCCCTGGCTTGCAAGGCACTGCTCCAAACTGGATCCAAGTTCACTTGACTCTGCAGTTGAGTCTGCTCAAAATTCAGCCCAGGTTCACTAGCCTTTGGGTTCTGACTTGTGACCACAGGACTCAAATTCATCTAAAACTCACCTGGGTCCTCTAAACACTGTGTGTGAGATCACTCCTATGGAGTTTCCTGGCTTCTGTGCATGTAAAATCTTAAGTGAAAAATGACACCCTGTGATCTGTGCAATCAGCTCATTGGGCACTTTCAGTGTTTTTTCATTAAAGTTTCATTTGTTTTATTGATTTATACCCTGTACTGACACACAATATACAGGCACAGAGACAATAATTTGGGCCACCCTGTTAGGTGCACAGGTGGACATAGGTGCCTAAGTGTAATTCCATTCCACCCTTCTCTAGTCCCTGAGAAAGAGTTAATGTGAAAAGTGGGTGAGTCCTCCTCCTCTTCCTCCTCACTGCCTTTTGTAACTCAGACTTGATGCAAAAAAGATGGCATGTTACAAAAGTAGATGGGTGGACTTGAGCAGGGGGGAATAGGGCCACACTGGGGCATCTGACTAAGATCTGCCCCCATCTGACTAAGATGGACTAAGATCTGGCCTTCTATTTGCATTTTTCATCTCAATGACAGATGTTCAACGGAACAGATTCTACCCCAGGTTGTCAATCCCTGACACTCAGGAAAGAGCCAAAGGAACTTGGTCTCTGCCCTGACAGGTAGATCAGGTTTGGGGTGAGTTGGAGGATGATAATTCCAAACTCAGGGAACATGAATATCCCGACTGCCAGGGAAATGTGTCTGGGAATGACTGGGAAAATTGCATAATATTATGTTCCTTTCAGTAAGCTCCTCTGGGTGAGGAGATCCAGCTGTACCTTCAGAATGACAGCCTCAAGTAAGAATCGGTTCAATGGTGGGCATGATAGAGGCTTGGCTGAGAAAGGTTGCTAGCTGTGTTAGCCTGAATACCATGCAGAGGTGCTTGTGGGAATGAATGCCTGAGACATTAGACCACAGTAGATGGAAGAAGGTGCTTCTCCTCCCCAGGGAGATCCCCAGGGATCTAGGAGCAACTAGACTGGAGATTGGCAGCACTCTCCTGCTATCAGCCTGCTCAGCTAATGTCTGTGCCATTGCTGCCACCTGCTACATCATAGATAAGCTAACTTGTCTGGAGTGGGTCTGTTCTCACCCCTGTCCTGCAAAACAGCCTCTGGGTCTGATGAAAGGAACATAAGAACTAGAACATAAGAGCACAGCTAAACCTCTGGGTGTCACCTTCATTCTGGCAGCACCAAGGTTTCTACAACCTCATGCTCTCCCCTAGGGAGGCCTCACAGACCTGTAGAATAGGAGAGGTGAGAGAATGGGCAGGAGAATAGGCAGCTGGTGAGAGTGGGGTTGATAAACAATTGCCCAACAAGAGAAACAATGGGGATGCTTTGCCTTGACATAGGGCTGCTCAGCGGGGGAGCTCAATCCCATGCTTGACAATGGAGCGTCTGCAACCCCATTATACAGATGGGTAAAATAAGCTATACTGATTTGACCTGGGACACCAAGTGGTTCAGTACCAAAGGCCTAAGTGAAACCTGATACCCCATCACTAACAGGGGCTTGATCCTGCATCTCATATTTTCCAGTGCAGTGATCTAATAATCAGGCCATGGGCCCTCCTCTTGAATCTGGCCTTTGGGTAGCCAAGAGTGGGAGATATCTGGGCCCAGGGTGAGGCAAGCAGAGAAGAGCAAGGGTGAGTCAATGCCCTGGAAGAGAGGAGGCCTGGGGTCTAGCCACTGCACCAAAAGGCCTTACACTTAATAATAATCACTATATCAACAGAAGTAGAATAGATTCTGCCTCTTTAGGGGCAGAGGCTAACACCAAAAACTAGACTTTAAAGGCCACCTAGGCACATAGAATTGAATAGGATTTGGCCCTATCTTACCTGTAGTCTTAGCTCCTGGGAATAAGAACTTCCATACTGGGTAAGACCACTTGACCTTGTAGCTCAGTAGCCTGTTTCTCACATCAGCACACGAAACAGAAGCACATATTAAAGGAGACCACCTATAAAAAACAGCACAACCTGCCCCATCTGTTGCACCACATCCACTCAACCCTGATTAGTCCAGCCTCACTTCACAACCAGCCACACACTGGTAAAACGAGGGTTACGCTTGAGCTTTGAGGAGCAGTTCCTAGGACACCCTGTGTGGAGATGAGCTATCTAAGGCTACTGTGTGATACAGCAAAAATGCCTCTGGCACACATGCAGAAATGAATCAATAGCCTGTATTGATTGGCCTGCCCTGCAAAACTGGATCGGGTGCCAGGTGCATATTTCCCTGCAGCTCTGGGGTTTGATCTGGCATCAGAAGGCAGACATGCCAGATGCTGATCCCAACAGTGGGCATTTCATGTTAAGACAAAAAGATGGTTTCCAACCACCAGGCCTTAATTCTCAGTTGACTTGCCCCTGTGCCTCCTTTTTGACCAGGGTCAATAGGGCATAAAGTGCTACTGTTCTGATTTTGTGGCATTTTCCACCCAATTTGCAAACTGCTTCAGCCCTCTGTTTGCAAAGCCTTTCCTAAACATCAAGTGAGGTCCTAGCTGCCTTCATTAAAGGGCCATCTGAGGAGACCTGGATGCACTACCCTTCCTCCCAATCCTGGTGGACAGTTGAGACTCATCTCCCTTTGCTGTGAGTATGCCTCTTCCCCATGGGCAGCCTTTCCCATGGGACAGAGAGCTGCTTTTTAATGCCTGTAGGAGGTTAGCGCCACAGACAGTGAAGTCAGTGGAAGGTTTTGCACTACTTCCTCAGGTGCTGGATCAGGCAGAGCTGGAGGAGGAGGGGAGGCATTGAGAGAGCTGTAGAATGCCAGGAATTCAGGGGGACATTTTTTAACCCTGATGCCATGTGCCTCTTTCCTTCCCCTTCCTTGTCCCAGCTCCCTGTCTGTCTCACAGGTCCCCTCCCCACCAATCAGCCCTCTTTAACATGACAAAACACGGCTGATGGAGGATATTGTACTTCAGAGAAAGGAACTGATTGCTATAAAGGGGACTCCCCGACAGCTCAGCCTCTGAGCAAGGTGTAGTGTCTAGGGAGCTAGCAAAGGAGCCACTTTTTCTTCATACCAATTTTTTCTTCATACCAACCCATGTTTGCTCACTTGGCTATGCCCTCTTACCAGTCGTACCCAAGTGGGGCTGGTGCAGGCTACAGGGAGTTTTACTGGAACTCTGCAGGGGAGGCAGAACGAGATCCGTGCCCAGGAGGAGCAGCAATACCAGCTGGTAATGTCCAGTTTCCAGAGCCAGAGGAAAAGAATGAGAACCCAGGTAAGGTATCAAGGTCAAGGGCCTGAGCTTCAGGACATCGGGGTTCTAATTCCAGATCTGTCATTGACTCATTGGGTGACCTTGGGCTTGGGCTACTCAGTTTCCCTGTCTGTGCCTCATCTATGAACCAGAGACAGCACTACTCCTGACCCAGCAGAGCAAAGAGTGGCGATGGAGTCCAATGATTACAGCAGGGGTTGGTGAAAGTCAGGACTCCTGGGTTCTTCCAGTTCTTGTCTGGGTTTCCTATGGGACTGTGAGCAGCCACTTCCCCTCTTCATGCTTCTCTTACCTTTCTGTAAAATGAGGACATAAGCCTGACTTATTCATGCTTGTAACACGCTCTGGGAGCCTCAGCTATAAAATAACAGACATGCAAAGCAGGATTGTCTGTGTCCCTGCTGCAGCATTTAAAAGATTGCTTGAAGACATATCCTAGCAGGCTGATAGCCAAGGCCCGTAGGACTGTCCAAGGCCCACTTTTAGCAAGAGCTGTCAGATCTGTTTTTAGGGAGCGCTAGAACCCATTTATTATGTTTGGTGGGGCAGGACATGCATCGGGACTCCATCTTGCCCTCAGCTCCCTTCAGAGTCCCTAGGACTGTCAGCACTGGCTCTGCTCAGAGATCAAGGCCTTCAGGTAGGAGCTATGCTTCTAGTTACAAGTTTTATCATCTGCCAAGGAGACATACAAAAAACTAAAACTTTTGGTTCCAAAATTATACCTTTTATTAGACCAACTGGGAAATTGCAAGAAAATTGTCCTTTTCTTCAAGCTTTTGGGATCAAGGTCCCTTTGTCATGATCTGGGAAAAGTAGAGATTGTAAGCCACATTCAGTATTTCTCCTGTAGGAAGCCCACTCCCTGGCAGAACCCATCACTGTTCCTTGTCTTTGTTTCTATCCCCCTCCCATCTGCTTCTGTTTCTCTCCGTGCCCCCCGCCCCCCATCTGTCCGTTCTCCCCCTCTGTCTTTCCTCCACATTTTCATCACTGCAACCAAACTCCAAACTCCCATCTCCATGGGCTTCAGTCCTGTCCCCTTTGTATCCCTTCTACACAAAAGAATAGCAGTAAAAGAACTAAGGAAGATAGGTCTTCACTTAGTGTCACTGTTCCATTCCAGAGCCAACACAGCACTGAATTTAATCCTAGAAAGAGAGCACTAGAAGGGACCTAAGGAGGTTATCTAGCCCACTCACCTGCTCCAGACAGAATTAGCTCTCTCTAAACCAGGGGTTCCCAAACTGTGGTATGTGTACCCCTGGGGGTATGCAAGACATCTCTGGGGGGGCGAGTACAAGGGAGAAATTGTGTAATGGCAGATATAATTTTCATTATAGTAATAATTGGCATTTAAGGGATTAAAATAAATATAAAACACAGGCTGGTAGGGGTACCTGGGCAGCTAGTAAATCTGGAAGGGGTTACACAATAAAAAAGTTTGGGAACCTCTGTTCTAAACAAGCCCAGACAAATATTTGTCTAACATGGTTTTAACAACTTCCAGTGACAGAGCGACATCCTTTCTAGGTAATCTCTTCTAGTGCTGAACCATCTTAAGAGTTAGAAATGGTTTTCATTACAGAGGTGTAGGAGAGTTTACAACTCTTAGTCATAGCAAGAATCTGAGTGGTTGTTTCAGGCTGTCTGCATGCTGGATAGTGCATGAGATCCTGCTTTTGTTTGGAAAACTATATTGACTGCCAGGTGTAGGGATTTGTTTTTTACTTTAAGCAGAAGGCTTAGCTTTACAGTTTGCATGTTACACAGGCCAGAAATCCATCAAGGAGACCATCATGCATTAGATGCCTCTGGAGGTCCAAGACAGCAGAATTAAGATCCTAATTTTGAGCAGACCCTCTCTCATCCCTTCCCCCTCACAATCTTGGAACATTCAGACATGCAGGGCTTTGGATGAGGGACCAGAGATCAGGGGCTGAGGGCATTTGGGCCCATCCCTGTTTTATGGCAGGGTTGGTTTGAGCTGGCGTTCCTGTTTGCTGGTACCTGTCCTTTTCCTAAACTTTCTCTCATGGGGTGCTCTGCAGGGGATGCTTTTCTTCTGCTGGGTCTAGGAGGGGAGGGGGTGGTGGAGCAGATTTTACTCCAAACACTGGGATGGTTCAGACTCTAGGGAGTAAGAGGAGCTCTGGCTGAAGGAAGCCATGTGTCTGCAACATACTTTTCCCAGTGAAGGCAGCCCTGAAAACATAGTCCCCACATAACCCACTGGTCCACCCCATCCCACAGACATGGGCCCCTAGCTAGGCCTCTCTCCTTGATGGTTAGGATTCAGCTGTCTTCACCGCTGTGGCCCAGGCTGTATCCGAGTCAAGGAAGGCTTGCCTTCTGCCTTACTTCTTTCCATGGGAAATGCAACAGGAGGGGCCTGAGGGGACTGCCTGGATTTGTGACTCCCCACTTAGCAGGGGTGGTTTTTAGCTTTGGAAGGGCCTAAAAGCCTCCTCATCTTACTACAGCTACTGCGGCGTAGCTCTGTGCTCCTGCTCCTCCAGTAACGGGGAGAGCCTTTAGCCTCAGCTAGGCCTAAAAGCTGGCTTGCATTCACCATTCTTCTTGTCTACAATCACCCATATCATCCAGCTTCCCACCCCCCCACCCCCCCCCAATCAGAGGCTGTATATCTGCAGGTGACCCAGCAGCATCACTGAAAGGGGGGTGGGGTGCACAAAAATAGCTACCACTTCAGCAACAGCTGAAAGCACTGTTGCCATCAGCATAGGAGTCAGCACTGCCCCATGCATCATGGCTGCCCTGCTACACCTCTGCCAGGACCTACCTCCCTGTCGCCCAAACCCCTCTTCAGCCCATCTGACCCAGCTCCCCACTGCTGCAGAGCTGCCCCACCTCTCTCCCTGTCTCCTACAGCCCACAGTTCACATTGCCAGCTCTTGAGGGATAAGGAGTTGCCAGTAGCTGAGAAGCAAATCAAGTGGAGGGGAAGCGCTTGCTTTGAACAGAGGTTTCCAAAACTTTTTCTTATTGAGAGAAGCCAGGGAGAGAAGCCTGGGAGGCGTGTTGGAAGTGGTGTGCTCAGTGGAAGGAGAACAGAAGCAGTGAGGGGACTGAAACCATGGTAGCAATGGTAAGATGAGGACAGAATTGCTGGTGGGGAGTGCTGGGGTCTTGCTGAAGTCATGATAGGAAGATGGATGCCTGCTGCATACCTGTTAGTTACGGGGTTTCCTGTGGTGCTCATTCCCAAAGCAGCTGGGCAGACTCTAAAGCCTGTGTCTTTACCTCTAAACTCTCCCCGACTTAATCCTGCTCAAAAACTTCCCACTTTGTGGTACTGTACAGAAGGGCAAGTAACTTCACATTGTAGATGCCTGACCATGAAGCAGTGCATGAGGAGACCCACGGTCATGCATTGTGACACAGGTGGGAACAAGGCCCACATCTGAGGTTCACTTGACCTTTCCTCCAACACAAGGATGTCTTCCACTTCAGCTGGGGGTGGGGACAGCACCCAGGGGCCCACAGTGGGAAAGGAGAGTTATATGGGGAAGTAGTCATGGGTGAGGTACCTGCTGGAGAAGAAGAAATGGCCCTCTCCTCTCCTGCCCCTTGGTTCAGGTTCTTGGGAGGTAGGGGGTTGTTAAGGACAGGAAGGCTCTGTTACCAGCTCCAAAACTGCACTACCCACAAGAGGATGTTGTCCCTTTTCCCTCCCAATTCATTGGTAGGCAGAATGGTGATTGGCAGGGGTTAAAATCCAGCCACAGATTTTGGGGGGCAGAGGGAGAAATATGGAAAAAAAGATCAGTTGAGAGGGTGGGGGTGGGTGGAGGAGCAGGAGATGGAAGGACTTGTCCCAGCACATCTGGTCAGGCTGGTGAGAGAGAGACTGGATACTTCTAGCCCTAGTGCTGGGTACTGACAGACACACCAGATACCCAGGAGAGAGCTATCCTTGCTTATATTTTCCTGTTCAGGCTGCCTCAGTGACTTTGCATGTCAGGAGCTTTTGTTTGGGCTAGTGGCACAGATAGTTTAGGAAGTTCTCCCTTAAGATTGTAATCTCATCTTTGTCCTTCAACCCAGGACTCCCTTAGGACATGGGCCAGGACAAGCAGGAAGGGGATTTTTCAGCCCCTGGCCTTCCCTTGAACACTTCCTCCAGGGTGTTTTTAGAGAGCTGTCAACCATCTCTCTTGTGGAGGACTCTGCACCATCTCTCTCCTCCTTTTCCCTTGCTCCAAACTCTCATCAGCAAAACACACTGTTCTGTTTTTCATCTAAGCCTAGTGCCAGTTTGAGCAGCTTGCTTCAAGTAAGCCAATTTAGGGCTAGGTCTGACTGTCTCATGGGGTCCTTCTGCTTATCATTGCTTCTTTGGGCTCCCTGTATTACGCACAGTGATCATAGTGATATTTCCCACATGAGTCAAGGACCAATTCATCAGTTTGCAAAGTGCTTTTACTTCCATGGATAGGAGGGAGTAGAATGGTGTCATTACTGCAAAGGGGCAGGAATCCAAACTAAGCATTTGGGGCCTTTACTATCAAAAAATGGCTGTGGGTTCCTTGTGCCTGTGTGCTGGGGCACCAGAATGGAGGGGGTCTGAATTGCATAAAGTTCTGAGTACTTGTGCTCAGAAAATCAGAGACCTGTGGGGTGTCTCATCAGTAGCTGGCCTTGAAAAGACAAGCCTGAGATTCTGTTGCCTGGACTTGCTGTGTGATCATGTCACACCCCTCTCTTTGCCCCAGTTCCTCCTCCTGTGGTACAGAATAATAGTGCTGCTCATCCATCTGGAGAGCACTTTGAGATCACCAGGTGAAAATGTTCTGCCTAGCTTTGATGTTAAAGGGCATCATCGTCCAGACTTGTCCAGCCACTCACAGTTTCCCTTTGGCAGCACAAACCAATACCACAACCTTTCCCTTGAAAAGCCTCTTAAGCCCTGAAGCTAAATGCAAATCTCTCTGTGCTGTTACCCACATAGAGAAGCAGTTCTGATGGCACACACGGCCCAGTGGATTACAGTGTATGTTCCCTTATATTTTTTTGTCTTTAGATCTCTCCCCTGCTTCCTCCGGCTCTGGGAACTTCAGCCAGCTCACACCAGACTCTGCCACCAGCCCCCATGCAGCATCCCCTTCCCCACAACCTACTCCCAAGTCCCAGAAGGGTGGGGAGAAAAGTACAGGAGAGGTGAAAAAGGCCAAGAGCCGTACCGCCTTCTCCAAGGAGCAACTGCAGACCCTGCACCAGCGCTTTCAAAGCCAGAAGTACCTCAGCCCCCAGCAGATTCGGGAGCTGGCTGCTACACTAGCGCTTACTTACAAGCAGGTGAGCATTGGGGGCATTGTCTCAAAGGGGACCTGTCTAATCATTGGTGAATGCTACTCACAGGGAAAGATGAGCAGCAGACAAAGAGGAGGTGTGGGTGATGAGCACGGAGTAAGGGGGCTGGTACTGGCTGACAGTACCTGGAGGTCAGTGCCGCAGATTCATCCTAAGCGTGTCAGGGTACCATGGGGTGGGGGGAGAAGCAGCAGGAGAATGTAGTCAATCCTTGGTGCCTCCAGTATTCACAAGTATACTGTGAATCAGGCAATATCTGGTGCTTTTAAAGCTCCAACACCTGGAGTCATGTGAGCATCATGAGCATCTCATTTTTAATTTTTTTTAAAGCTTCTAGCACACCTGGTTTAAGAGGAAGAGCTATGAACACATTTGAAAAGCCCCAAAATTACAATTAAAAAAAAAAATAACCTCATTAAAAGGAACACTCCTGGGGATAAAAGATTCGTTAAAAAGAGGGTGTTCACCCTAACTGGGTTAGTCTACTTGCTGCATCATCATAGGGCAAAAAATTGGCCCCTGCCACTGCAACTGTGAAAAGTTGGGGGTATGCAAAAAATTGGACCCTGCCACTGCAACTGTGAAAAGTTGGGGGTTGTTACAAACAGGGTTCATTATATGAGGCTGTGCTGTGTCTCATTGTGATTCTGATTCATGGATGCTGAATGCTGGTTGCTGGCAGTGCTGGGGGGCTGGGTGAACAGTGTGTGCCAGCAGTGAGGGGAGTCACCAGATGTTCCTGCATTTTGTGTCCTGACCTCTTGGTCTTTTTCTGGGTGTAGTTCCAGGCATTAGTGAGATGCCATAAGTTACTAAATAACCTGGCTTGGACTCATTTAGAGATCATTCCTCCAAGAGCAGTCAGTGGCATCTGCCAGACACTGGGAAGTTGTAGCCATCTTTCCCCACTGCTGAACGTGTCCTATCACCACTATCACCACTAGGGAAAAAAAATGTTTAAAAGTCTAGTGTTTGCAGTGGCTTGACATCAGGCAGTGTACAGGTCCTGCTAGCTCCATGCACAGTACCCTCAAAGGTTCGGGTGATAGTAGGGCTGGTACCAGGAAGCAGCAATGCCTGGGGGGAGGATGCCTTTTGCTCAGGTCCAGCTGAATGGGAGTCTGTCTACAGCGGTCTTGCCCTCCAGCAGATGAGAAGCCACAAGCCCTACACTTGCCATATGCCAGCAACTCCTTCTCCATTGGGTCTAACACACCAAGGGGTTGGATAGGGATGAGGGACAGTGCTGGGCATTACTAGGTGTCCCAAATGTCCGAGCATGAACAGGGACTGTCACAGCCATTAGCCAATTTTACGTGCACAGGCACACACCCATACAAGCCAAACCTGTTCTGCCAGGAACAGGACAGGCGAGACGCCAGCTATTTCCTGCAATCAACATCTGTGCAATGGTTTCCTTGGCACTCCACATGCAGCCCAGGGGCAGTTGGCTCTGGAATTCATCCCTATCAGGGATCTGGAATTTAGGGACTGATACGAACACTCTTACAGATATGTGATTTCTGCTCAGTCCTGCCTGAAATCAGGAGGGACTTCAGGCCAGCCAGCAGCTGGGATCACAGAGACCAAGCTGGGCTTGATTAGTGCCAGTCAATGACAACATTCATCCATTTCTATCTTGGCAGTGGGCATGGCAATGAGCATCATACAGACACCTGTGTCCTGGGAAGTGGAAAGAGT